ATATTCAAAACTCCACTGGGTTTAAATATATTGAAGATATCTCTTGACTCTTCCCTTGACAAATTTCCAGAACATACAGCAACAACATAGAACTACAAAGTGAAATTTAACATTTAAATGAATCTGCATAGATGGATGATAAACAAATTGAAAYAAAAAAAKCAATGSTACAAAAAAGAGTAATTTACCTTAGAGGAGAAATTGATGTGTTGGACATCCTCGAAAGTTATCTTTTTCAGCCAGTCCAATTTATCATCCAAGGTAATGTCCTCTGTCAATTTATTGGACAACAACTGAAAAGCTTGTTCATTGAGGTCTCGTGATATGAATTCACTCTGCATTTTATCCTTCATAATCTGAAATACGAACACATGCACTATTAAAACACACAAAAAAACGTTGATAAATTATGGGAATCTGAAAAACATAGTGACATACCTTAAAACATTCTTTTGTGGGAGTAAAAAGTCCAAAGCTCTGCCAGATTTTGGAAATAAAATCTTTCAACTTTTCACCAAAGCCATTAAACCTCAGCTCCAAGATGTTGTTATCTCCAAAGGATATAATAGCATCAATACACGCCTCTGCACCCTGAACATACAAATGTACATTTAACAAATTCAGTAAAAGCATGTATAAAGAAATAACGAACTCAAATAGACTCACATTGTATAAGATCGCACTTAAATCTTCTTTTATCATCTCAATGAAGATTTTGCTACTCCACTGGGATTTTATATCAGGGACATTTGTGTAAATGTTGAATTCCGCTAATGGCCATATAGCAGAACTATTTTCACTATGAAAAAGCTTGCCAAAATCTTCATCCATACAAAGCTCAAACTGAGAAGAGTTTTGTCCACTTGATCTAAAAAGTTCAATCTTAGAGAGGAATTCGGAAGGCATAAACTCATTGAGGGCCGGAAAAGACAGATCTATATCAATAGAGTTCTTCTGCCATTTCGTGATGTACTCAAGTGGAATGTCCTCAATTTTGTATTTGGCACCAAAATAGGATTCTTGTTGAAACTCTAACAAAGAGAGAGAGACAAATTGGCTTGAAATGCGGGAATTTTTGTTTCAAACATAAGTTTTAAAAAAAAACTAATTTGGAATAAAACAATTACCTGTTTCTGTGAATGGTTTAGATAAGCAATCTACTCTCATATTCTGTGGCGTTAATAGTCTCAGAATCCCATCCATTTCAGGTTTTTTGCCAAAAACATACTCAAAATGCAGACTAAGTGCATGCTTCGTTGGTGCCTTCAACATATTAACTGAAAGAAATTATCAGAATTAGAAGAAGAGTTGTAGAAGTAAACAAAACGAAAAATAATAAGTAGGAAAAACAAATATTAACATATTAATTACCTGCAAGCCCTTGAGCAAAGAAATATAGTTCACCAATTTTATCAAACAAACGATAATACTTCATTAGTAATGAAGTATTATACTCATCAATGAGTGAATCATGAGGATAATAGCCGCTTAGAAAATTGAGATATTGCAATACACATGTCACCACTTCATATCTCTGCCAAAAAACAAAAAACAAAAGAATTTGTTACATTTTTATACCAAATAAAAGGCAAATATACATATTGAACTAGAACAAAGTTTAAAATACCATTTCCCAACCAGTGTTGGTTAGATCCGCCTGGACGACGAATACTTCTCCAACTGATGTTGAACCATAGGTAGAATCAGAATCATGACATACAAATGAAGTGTCACTACCGACTGATGCTCCAAACCTTGTCACCCATCCTTTACTCTTCAAGAGAGAACAAACTGATCCGGCATTCTCCGTCAAACAAAATCTATTAGTACACTTAAATATCCAACAATGAAGATAAATAAAAAGAAAGGATATGAAATCCACCTTGACATAATAGATTTACTATTAGTCTCTCCGGCCTTGGTCTTGTTGACTCAGAATCATACTGAGACGGAGGAAGCACTATTTTATTATTTGTAAATTACATGATTTAACGATATGTTTATGAATCCTACCATGGATTCATAAACATGGATTTGTAAATTACATGATTTAACGATATGTTTATGAATCCTACCATGGATTTGTAAATTACACTATTTTACTCTTCATTCTTCTTTTTTAGTTTAACGATTTCGTCCATCAACATGGTGGTGAGGTTGCTGCAGAAACCAAATTAGATCATTCAATCTTCTCCATGCACGTTTTCTCGGATCATTTTGAAGGTGCTTTAAACATGTTTGCGGATATGTTTATGAATCCTACCATGGATTCTGGCCTTATTAAAAGAGAGCTGAATACTATTGATTCAAATATTTTAACTTTTAATGAACTTATTCTATACATCCATTTATTTTGATTCATTCTAACTGTTAGAATCCGTTTTCAGAATTTCTATTATATAAATACAAAGATTCGGCTCGTCAATATTTTTTTTACCACACAGCTTCGAACACCCACCCTTTTAAGAGATTTACTTGGAGGAACAAGGAGTCTTTGTCCAAAGAATCTCTCTGTTCTGAGGTCAAAAAGCTGTTCTATGATTATTACAAGGCTTCAAACATYAAGCTTGTAATAATTTCTCCTGGTAATTGTTTTTGTAATTTCATATTTGTTTTCTCATTCACTTTTATTCAAGTTTACAGATCATAACTTTAATCTTACTGCTTGGCTTTTGTTTTCAGATAAATTAGGCTACCTTGAAAATTTGCTTGGCTTTTGTTTTCAGATAAATTAGGCTAACAGAAGGGATTTGGAAGACTGGTGATGTATCTTATGTGCTTGAATCCCTTGAGTATGCTCAAAGCATACAACTTTCTGATGAAACTATTGGGGGTCTACGACTTTCTTCCTTAAGATCCGTATGATTTTGGAGATTCGCAAAAAGCTCCCTAACCAAATTTTCAAGGTAGCCTAATTCATCTGAAAACAAAAGCCAAGCAGTAAGATAAAGTTATGATCTGTAAACTTGAATAAAAGTGAATGAGAAAACAAATATGAAATTACAAAAACAATTACCAGGAGAAATTATTACAAGCTTCATGTTTGAAGCCTTGTAATAATCATAGAACAGCTTTTTGACCTCAGAACAGAGAGATTCTTTGGACAAAAACTCCTTGTTCCCCCAAGTAAATCTCTTAAAAGGGTGGGTGTTCGAAGCTGTGTGGTAAAAAAGATGCTCTTGACAAGCCGAATCTTTGTACTTATGTAATAGAAATTCTGAAAACGGTAGCTAACAGTTAGAATGAATCAAAATAAATGGATGTATAGAATAAGTTCATTAAAAGTTAAAATACCTGAATCAATAGTATTCAGGTCTCTTTTAATAAAGCCAGAATCCATGGTAGGATTCATAAACATATCCACAAACATGTTTAAAGCACCTTCAAAATGATCCGAGAAAACGTGCATGGAGAAGATTGAATGATCTAATTTGGTTTCTGCAGCAACTTCACCACCATGTTGATGGACGAAATCGTTAAACTAAAAAAGAAGAATGAAGAGTTACAGTCATGTAATTTACAAATAATTGGAAAGAGAAAGACAAAAATAGTATTCTAGGTACCAACCTCATTCAGTCCCGGGTATGCTTGTGAGCCTAAAAACAACACATGCTCGAAGAGATGAGCTAAACCTTGGATATGTAGAGGGTCAGCAAAACTCCCACATCCAATGGCAAGGGAAGCAGCACCATGTTCAAGCTCAACAGAAGAAACCAGCAGAACAGAGAGCCCATTGTCGAGTACAAATGCCCCAAATTTGTAACTACCGCCTTTAGGATGATTTATATCCTCCAA